AATACAAAAAAAATTTTTTTGAAATGTGGTTTTTTTGGAATTACTTTTAAATGGCTTCACCGATCAATTTCAAAATCTAATCAGCTCTTTAGATCAAAAAATCACGTCGATCACCGCAAGCCCGGTCAAAATAGGTTGATTCGTTCGTGAGTTATCGTTGTCGAAAGAAAACCGAAAAAAGCGCTTTTTCGGAATTACTTCGAAATTCCTGGCTTGATCGATTTAAACTTGAAAATTCTTTATGGAACTTCAAAAACTGCGTCGATTGCCGCCAACCGCGTGAAAATCGGTTCATTCATTCAAAAGTTATTGCCGTTTGAAAATTCAAAAAATTGTTTTATTAAATTGCTATTAGAGTTTTGAGCTCGTAAGAGCTCAAAATGACACAAAAATTATATTTTTGAGCTCGAAGAGCTCAAAACGTAATGTGTAATTTTGAGCGCTAAAGTACAAAATGAGTGGGAAGTTGCAGGGGTAGCCTTTAGGGTCAATCGTCGTCCTAATTTTTTTATAAAGAAATTAGTAAGTCAAATAAGTTATTTCAACCAATTTTTTTAGCCAAAAAATCCTTGTCTAGACATTTTCCATTTATCTTATTGTGGACACAATTTCTATATTAATATGCACACTGTTGCTGTATAATGTATAGTAGTTATCAATCATATTAAAAAACGCGTCTATGAGAAATAGGAAAAAAAATTATTTAGATGGAAGTATATGATAAATTTTATTAATAAGTTTAACCCGTTAGATTGATTCTCATAAACGATCAAGTTTTGTTTTTACATCATGAGAAAAATCTGAAAATCGATTATTGGCTCGGCAGGCCATCTCTGAAACCTTTTATTTCCTTCAAGCTGCGACTGAAGGTACTATAAATAAACATCAATTTTTGAGCTCCCGGATTTCAAAATTAATGTTTTATTTTTCAATCTATTATTTTTGTGGTTTGATATCTCAGAAACTGATCTAATAACATTGAAATAACTCCATTAATTTGGCTTTAAAATTTAATCAGGTTTTTTAAGACAGATGAATTTTTTCGATTATGCACAGTAAAAAATTTGTCGTCAAATTCAATAAAAAAATTTGTGTTGATGATTTTTTAACTTCCCGCTAAGAAAATCAAAGATTTTTTAAAATTGGGAAGTTATTGGTTTTATCCCGTTTTTCGAAAATCGATTGAAAAATCGATGAAACATCAGATCTCGACGTTTTGAGGTCCTAGGAAGCTTCCCTGAATGTTTTCGCGATGATGTCCGTATGTCTGTATGTATGTATGTTTGAGCTCGACGAGCTCAAAAACGTAATGTGTAATTTTGAGCGCTTTTTAAGTACAAAATGAGCGGAAAGTTGCAGGGATGGGCTTTAGGGTCAACCGTCGTCCTAATTTTTTTACACAAACTTAATGTTAATTCAACACAATCTGTGTATAACGATAGAGTAACACAGCTCTGTATTAAAAATAATACAGCCTTGTGTTAGTGTAATATTGAATAATTGTTACTAAAATATCGAATAAAATTTTTTTGTGTTGAAAAACGAATCGATCGAACATCACAAACGATTGTTTTAAATCAACACACTAAAATGTTATATATATGCAACACTAAAATTTTTACTTATCACACAAAATGACGAAAAATTTTTTAATGTGTAACAACAACCATTTAAACTTATTGGTTCATTTTACTGCTAAAATTTTGCCTAAAGGAATACCTTAAAATAGATGCAAAAAACCTACGGTTCAATGTCATCCAAAAATAATCTCTTTTTTAAATTATCAATCTACATAGTTATATCCCGGGAAAAACGGATTAGATCTGGCCATATACAAACAGATCTGGCCATATATAAACAGATCTGGCCAGATCTTCTGAGGTAGTACCGTTGATATTGCAAGTCAAATGTAAAATACAAAGTCTCATATGTAACGTCACGTTAGAGAAAGAGAAATAGAGTACATTTTTGATACCTATTTGTTAATTAGCACTATCACTTACTCAAATATGTACTTTCAATTATTGAAAATATTTTTTACGTTTTTTCTGTTGCTTTCTCAATATTTATCAAAAAATCTTTAAATTGTCTCTATCTGACGAGATCTGGCCAGATATAATCAGATCTGACCAGATCTGGTCAAATTTTAAAATTGCCCAGGTAAAAATGATTATATATAATTATATATACTCATACATAATTAATATAATTATATACGAAAAATAGCTATATATAATTATATACAATTATATAGAATTATTTTCATAAAAAAAAAAAAAAAAAAAATCGGCGCGCACGGGACCGAACCTGGGACCTGACGCTTGAGAGACTAATTCATTACCTGTTTACCAACGAGACTTGCTTGGAACAAGAGTAGGTAGAGTTTGTAATAACTATAGTTAATAGCCTTAGCAGATCTGGCCAGATCTGTTTATATATGGCCAGATTTAATCTGTTTTTCCCGGGTACAAGTAATGTGAATCGTGTCCATGATCGATGCGTAATAAACAAAGTTTTTTATCAAATTTATTGCAAATTATTAATTATCAATATACGCTGATGGGAAGATTTATTAACTATTAACAAATTAATTTATTCGAAAACAATTATTCAATTTATTAAATTCTAATAAATATTTTTTAACATTCAATAAATATTTATTTGGGAGGAAAGTATATTTAGTAAAATAGTTTATAAGTATTTATTAATAGTTAACAAATATAGTTATATCTGGCCAGATATAATAAAATCTTTTTATGTCTGATTTTTTTTTTCAACCCAGATATAGTTATATCTGTTTAGACCTGATCAGATATGACTAGATCTGATTATGTCTGATGTATTTTTCCACTCAGATATAGTTATATCTGTTTAGATCTGATCAGATATGACTAGATATGATCATGTCTAATGTATTTATCAACCCAGATATAGTTATATCTGTTTAGATCTGATCAGATATGACTATATCTGTTCATGTTTGATGTATTTTTCAACTCAGATATAGTTATATCTGATCAGATATGACTAGATCTGATCATGTCTGATGAATTTTTCAACTCAGATATAGTTATATCTGTTTAGATCTGATCAGATATAACTAGATCTGATTATGTCTCCAATCCCATGTCTGATCAGATCTAAACCGTTTTCCCCGGGATACGAATTAAAAAGCTGCTGTTATCATAGGGATGAATACGATCCAATCTATAATTAGCTTGGCAAATATATGGGTTAAATTAATTTTCTTATGTATCCGAAAAAATTGTTCATTTTAATTTTGTTTAGAAACTATTTCCATAATTAAAATGTAATGCAACACGAGAACTTTTTATCATGGAAATGAGGATTTTTTTATGATAATGAGTTACTTTGTTGAATGATGTTAAAATCCATAGACTCCAAATTTTTGCACGAAGTCATCCCTTGTAGAAATAATCAAGCTTTCACTCGATTTAAACCAGTGACTGGCAAGTCTAGTTGAACTGGCCAGTTACGGGCTAAAAACTCGATTTCATTTCTGCTAAGGATATCACGTTACAGATGTAATAATTATACGCCCTTATAGCACTCGGGAACCATGAGAGCGTAAAAAAATTTTTCTGGAATTAAATAAAAAATTTTTTTGAAAATTCGAGTTTGTTGTTACGCCCATATATAACTCATGATATAAGTTCTGAAATTATTTTTTATTTAATATTTTAATTTTAATAAATTATAGGAAAAAGAAATGCAATGAATGAAAGGAAACATGTATTTAAAATGACGTTGAAAAACCTCAAAAAAATTTTTTGCAAAACCAAATAAAATTTTTTAAAGTTAATAAATTTATATACTGAAATTTCAACTATTGAAGATTAATCAGCTTAAAGTCTGAAAAAAAATATAATTCTTGAAAAAACATGATGATTTGCCGAAGTTTTACGGCTAAAAATTTTATCAATAATTCTATTAATTTGTTAAATTATTAAATTCTTTGTTACATTTATTCACTTAATTATTAGATAGTTCAAGCATTTCCTTCGCATTTCATATTTTAGGGATATAAATTGAATAATTTCTTGATGTTAGTGTATACACTGAAAAAAGTTTTCTGCTCTGCACAATACGATATTGCTACTGCCGAGATACGCACGTTGCGAAACATCGGATCTCAATCGTTACGATTCAGTTGATTCGCTGCTACAGCGATTTATTAAATCGTACACTGAGCAATAATGTAGAATCTTACTTTGCATTGTTTATTATTTATGTTATAAAAAATGATTTATATCAATAAGTCGATGTCTTAAATAATTTAATCTATAACAATGTTTAATTAATAAAAAAATTGTAGTCGAATTTTCTGAACAAGTTATCTTTTGTCTGATAAGTTGAAACAGAAATCTTAACATGTGTTTATGGTAGAGGTACCTCTACCCTCAATACATGTATCTGTCAAAATCTTAACATACGATGCCCATTTTGAAGCGTACTCCACGTGCCATCTTGCGAAGAATATCAGAAGCTGCCTACAATAATTGATTTTTACTCGCTGCTACAATAGAGTTCTGAAATTCTAACGCCATGATGCCACTTGTCAGTAGTTTTTAGCGTCTCTTGTTAGATACGTCATTTTTTCAGTCGCCAAGTGTATTTTTAAATTATTTATTATTTTATTAGAAATAAAACTTTTTACTGAATTGTATATTGTAAAAAATAGTTTTTTTTTTTTTAGAAATATGTCGAGTATCATTGTTTTAATATAACTTAATTCCGAAAATTCTAACACATTATCTTATTTATTAAGGAAAAAGCAAAACAGCTGTCTTTATTGTTTATTATTTTGAAAAAGGATTATTTTTAAATATATTTTATTGAAATAAAAATATGTGCAAAATTGAAACATGTAAATAGCAAATGTTTAGTGAAAAGTTGAAACATGATTGTCAAAACTATAGATTTTCAATGAAGTATTTAGTTTAAAATAATTATAAAACTAATGAAGTTTTGGAGTAAAAATGACGCACATTCGAGTCGGCAGTTTACGCTGCATATTGATTTTATTAACAACTACACTTGTTGCTAACGGAGATTTGCAAAATTTCATTGAATTACAGGTAAATTAATTTATTTAAAATTATTTCATTATGGTACTACTAAAATTAGCAAGAAAAAGAAAAATTATTTTCCAGAAAAAAATTTCTTGGCTCGAGAATTCGATGAGATGAACCATTTAAATTTATCAAGTTTTTAATATAAAATCATCAATATCTGCCTTTATTATAAAATATTCACCTTTATTATCATATAGGTAAACGACCGAATAGCTTTACTTGAATTAAGTTAAAATTACCTTGATCAATTTGACCAATTATTCAGACAAGAAAATATATCCTCAATATGCATTATCAAGAATATATGTTGTGTCAAGAAAATTTTCTTAATAATGGCATTTTTTTCTATCAGCGTAGAATTTTTATGATAAATAAATTATTATGAATGAGATATTCCTAAGAATTCGCACTCATAATTATTTCTCCAGAAAATGTTTGTTACCAATTCATCTTCCATAATTTGATAATTTTTTTCCGGAAAATTTAAGCCGCAATTGAATCCAAAAATAATTTAAATAACTTTAATTTTCAGCATAGACGAAAACATTTACCTGATACTAAATTTGGATCAGATGACTATGCTGAACTTTTAGATAATAATGAACCAGAGGTAGCGGAAAGTGATCCCAATTGGAGTAAAATACCAGTGAGAGATGTTGAATTATATCCCAATAAACCATTAATTTCTGAATCTATTCAAACTAATCAACGTTCTACATTTGAATCAGGTAAATATTATCAGACCTACACTGATAAAAATTTTAACTTGACTCAAGAGCAAAAGTCTTGAACCAATTGGAAGTCTTGAACCAAGAACACCAATTGGAAGAAAATGAATTTCTTGAGTCAAGAGGAAAAATTCTTGAGTCAAGATAGATTCTCTTGAATTAAGAAAATTATCTTGACTCAAGAATTTTTCCTCTTGGCTCAAGAAATTCATTTTCTTCCAATTGGTGTTCTTGAGTCAAGTTAAAATTTCTATCGGTGTAATGACCTCTTTTATTCCAAGGTGTGTATACTATTTTTCTGCTCGACGTAGCCGGAATGTGGCAACTTTGTTTAGCGCAGCGGCCAGAAAGTTGCCACTTTCCGGCCGGAGGGCAGAAAAATAAATTAATTTATAATATATTCTGTGCTCTCTTGTTTTATGAACTGAACGTCGATTATAGCCTTACATCTGTCATATTTATTTGTCATAGCTCAACATTTCATGGATTATAAAAGTTTTGTAACTGCGAATATTAGTTGCAGTGATAACTAATAAATTTGTATTAATATACGTTTATAAAATAGTTCTCATCGTTTGATTATGGATCTAAATCTAGAGTTTTCTAATTATCGTTAATAAACACAATGTGAATACATCGAGACAAGATTAAAATTTTGACAAGATTAATGTTAAATTTTATACTTTCACACACCATTCAATGAGCGGTATTCACTATTTGGGAGTGCGAAGAGTATCGTTTGGTATACATTGCACTACGAAATAGTGAATGGTCACTATTTCAGTTTCAGAGAATGAAAAGCCGTGCCCTGTAGAGGATCTTCGAGGACATGAATAAAATAATAATAAATAAATATATTATTATTATTGTTAATATTATTATTATTATTATTATTATTATTATTATTATTATTATTATTATTATTATTATCAAATTCGTAAAAGGTCGGTTTTTGATCTACAGGCGATGAAAAACCGACTAAAAATTATAGAACGTTTTGGTCTGTTTTTGACCTTGATGCGATCAAAACCAGCTAAATGATTGTGACAAAAACAGTCTGATTTTGGTCTTGATACAATAGAAAACAATTTTATTATAACATTAAAAATGATCTGAAATTGGTCTGAATTGTGAATAGTACGGGCAAAAACAGATTAAATTCTCATATAAAATAGATACACATAATAAAATTAAATTGAATGAAAAATATTAAAAAATTTTATTAATCATAAAACAGACTAAATTTTTTGACCCGGGATGATTGTTGATCACTCGTTTATCCAAAACCCAATTAAAAAAATTGTTTTTTCAATAATATCTATTCGATGCACACGACATGTGAAGTATACTTCGTATACGATACCCAGTATTTGATAAATTAAACTAAAATCCCTTAAATACGATTAAATAAGTAATATTAGGTCATAAAATAATTGGTGCAAAAGTAGATGAATTGATAAAGAAAAAAATAATAATGAAAGTAATACCTAAATTTATAATTTTTCTTTAACACTTTATGCAATTTAAGGTACTTATTTTTAGAAATATTTGAATAGATTTAACAGTTAACTTAATATTTTATTATTACTAAAAAAAAAACTCAGTCATAATCTTTTGCAGAGTTCTTCGGGTATTTTGAAAATTAAATTTAACATGGACAGAGCTTGAATTTCCTAAATTATTTATCTCCAGGTTCTTAAAAATTTTTTTTTAAAATTGAGCAAACTTGCAATTAATCAAATTTTATTCATTAATACTAAATTAAAAAGTATTCATCAATTGGCAATGTCTTTTTTTAATGAACAGTTGTAAAAAAATTAAACTTTAAAATATTTAAGATTTTAATAATTCAAGAAGTTTTCATTTTTGATAAAGTTTTCAGTTTTCATTTTTGATAAAGCATTTCAAAGTTCTTGAGCTTTTTATAGAAAAGTATTAAGAAAAGAAATAAAAATTAAGTCAAAAAAATCTTTGAAGCTCTTTCTTTATTAAATAACATGACAAAAATAAAAATTGACAGCTGAAGAAAGTTGGACTTTCATCTTTCCGTTTTATATTTTATTTTAGTTTTATAATAAAGTAGCACCGTGAAATAAAAATAAAAAATAAAGAGAATAATCAAATTTTATTTTACAGATATAAAATGGGATAAAAATTGGACTCCGGAATTGAACTATGGACAACTGTCAGGTGTTGATTTAGATCCAAACGGTAACATAGTTATTTTTAGTAGACGTGAAATAGTATGGGGTCAAGATACTTTTGACTATGGAAATAAATTTAATCGAGCGTACGGACCTATCAAACATAACACAATAATAATACTTGATAAAAATGGTAAAGTTATATTAGAGTGGGGTAAAAATATGTTTTATCTCCCACATGGTTTAACAATCGATCATAATGGAAACTATTGGTTAACGGATGTCGGACTGCATCAAGTATTCAAATTTGATGGAAAAGACATCAAAAACAATTGGGAGTTTTTGAAAAATATTCAAGATAAATCTGAACCTGACAATTCTGCTCCTATTAACGATCAGAACTTATTTAACAACAGTATTATTAAGCCTACATTAATATTAGGGGAAGCATTTGTGCCAGGGAATGATAACGAAAGGTTTTGCAAGCCAACGAGTGTTGCTGTTGCTAACAATGGAGATTTTTTTGTGAGCGATGGATATTGCAATTCACGAATTATAAAGTTCAACAGCAGAGGGGAGAGAATACTAACTATTGGCCGGATTTTGATTATGAGTAGTTATTTTATGTCACCTTACGCATTTTCTGTACCTCATGCATTAGCACTTGATGATGATATGAATTATTTATATGTTGCTGACCGAGAGCACGGCAGAGTTCTCTGTTATTATGCCCAAAATGGAACCTTCCACAAAGAATTTAAAAATTCTGTTATTGGGACTAAAATTTACAGTATTGCTTATGCAAGACAACATCTTTATATAGTTAATGGAGCAGATCCATTTTCTTACACTAAATTTCATATTCGAGGGTTCGTTATTGATGTTAATTCGGGAGACGTTGTTGCAGAATTCGGTCCTAATAATGACATGCTTGGACCACATGATATTGCTGTTTCTGATGATGGCAGTGAAATATATGTCATTGAATTAAATAGTAATGCGATATACAGATTTTTACAAGGTATTTATTTTTATACTTAAATTTATAATTATTGAGTTTGCCGTGATAACTTTTTTTTTGCTATAGTATTTAATTTTATGTTTTACTCTGAGTGTATCTAGTTTTCAGTACTTTCAATACGATTCTTAAGAATCGGAAACTTTATTACAAATTTGATCTATCTTCTTCTTCGATGTTATTATGGTACTAATAATAATGTATATTACATAAAAAGGATTAATGTTGTTTAAACAAGTTATTAATAAATATTCACTTAAAAAAGTCCTCTTTATTTATTTTAATTTTTTATTTTTGAGAAGGGTATTTTAATCTATAAGCGTAAATTTCATACCTTATTTTTCGAATTTTTAAGTTCCTGTTAAGGAAATTGAAAATTTTAAAAAATTGGAAAGTTATTATTTTTGAAAGAAACTATTTAAAACAGCGCTTTTAATTTTCTTAACTGATCAATTGATTGATTTGTTAAAAGGCAAAATCATTACAGATGATTACAAAATATATTTATGTACAATGTATGATTTAAAATAATAACATATGGTTAAATTCATGAGATTTAACTACCTGTGCATAAAAAATTTCGTCCTATGATAAATTTGGTCCTTACAGTCATATTTGAAACAAACATAATTTTATAATAAATACAAGTTATTATTATTATTATTATTGTTAATTTAGCGCCTCTCTCATTGCTGTAAGAAATACTTACGTACTTTTAAAAAGCAATTCAATAAATAATAATAATAATAATAATAATAATAATAATAATAATAATAAATATAAGTTATTTTTGTAAATAACATCTGAAAGCTCATTAAATGAGCTTTAATTTTCATGTATCTTTGTCTATTTTATAAAATTTTACTCTTGCATTCGTTTTAGAAATGATTATTTTAGTCATATTGAAATATACAGCGATCAAAATTGTGGTCTTCATTGATTACTAATTAGTAATTATTTTTAATTTACGCTTGTTAATTTGGTGTTTTTACGATGTACTTAATATACACACATGTGTTTACGACTCTCGTAGTTGTTCGATTCACCATGAAATCTATTTCCATTTCAGCTGCCAAATGGTCTTTTTTTGTCTGTAGTTGAGTTGAAAGATGTTTGTTATGCGATAAAAATTAAAACAATGAAAAGAAGTAATTATATTGAGAAATAAAAGACAATTGAAGAACTTATAAGAAAATATATTAGAAATATATGTTTTTTGTTATTCGGTAAGAAGAAAAAGATTCTTAGTTCACGTTTTTAGACTAAAATACTCTTTTAACAAATATACTAATTTACGTTGAAGTTTTATGTCAAAAATTGATATAAAATAATTTTTTGTTTTTACATTCGATTCGAAATTGATTACATCGCTAATATCTGTAAAATAAAGCTTTTTAAATTTTAAAACTAGTAAAAAAATCAGTAATTATAAAATATACCATAATATTTAAAACGAAAAACTTTCTAACTTTTAAATCATCTAACTAATTTTTAATAATTGTAGTTCATAAAATTCTTAAAGTACATTTTTCAAACTCACTTTATCAGAATCGAATTCATAATTTATTATTCAGTACTCATAGTGATAATGATTCAATTACATCGTTGTAAAATTAAATTATTGGATATATTAATTATTGATAATTCTTATATCCATAATTGCGAATTATAAAGAGTTGAAATAAAATATTAAATCGTTTAATCTATTAAAATGATAATACAGCATGTTAAAAGCTGCAATTTTAAAATAATATTTTAATAAGTATTTAAGTGAAATGCCGATTAATAAAAGCAATTAATGATTTATAACTATTGATTATATTTGGGAAGAGATTTTTATCTGAATACATGTATATTTTTAAACCACAAAAAAAATAAATTATTGATTGCAGATGTTCATCCGAATCGTTCAGTAAGAATCAATTCATCGCAAACCACAAAATCTACAGATTCAGCAGCAACGGGTCATCATAACTTTGTTCCTCTGACGAGTGATAATTTAAGTGATAAACTGTCGACTCACATGAGTTTATCGATACTAATATTGACGATTATCGTCAGTGTGATGATTTTTATTGGTCTTTGCGTAGGCGTTGCAGCAGTTGTAGCGAGATGTCAAAAAAGAGGTAACTTTTCTCAATTGGATCAAGGTAGTGTTGAGTTCACAAAGCTAGTCGTCGATAGATAATAATTTTGACTTTACATAATTGTATATTTTTTTTTGCTTTTATCGTCAAATTAATTGTAATTGTACAGTTTAAAATATTTATTATGTTCTGTGCTTTCCAGCTTGTAGTTGCACGCAGTGATTGCCAATAATGAATTTTTGAATAATTTAATTGTAACTGCAGTTCGTGGGTGTAGAGTACAGTTTTTGTTGCAAATTTGTGTTTATTTATTGATCATATTCGTTTTTAATTAATTTATAAAATTGTGATGTATTATTTATTTATTTGAAGTACAATAAATAATTGAGCTTCTTTCATTAGTTTTAAAAATTGTTTTTTTTTTTTTTATATGTTTTATCACTACACAGAAATTATATAATAAATGTATAAAATAAATGTTCTTAAAATAATAACAAATTTTATTTTTCAAAACAGGATGCTTGTTGTCTGTTCGTAAAAGAGGTTACTGGGCAAATGACAGTAAAGATAATTTTAAATTATCAAGTTTACTAAATACTAGGCAAAATAAAAATTTTAGAATTTTCGACAAAAGACCAAGTACACGTGACTTCAGTAAATTGAATACAGAACCCGAAACAACAGATGATGAACATGTGGAAGATAACCTTATTATATAATTTCTCTGAGAACAGTACGACAAAAAAAATTTTATTTCCTTTATAAATAACATAAACTGCGATGTGACATTTACTGTATTTTAAAAAAAGTTATTTATATTCTTACCGTCGAAATATTGATTAAAATATACTGGTAGAAAAGTTAATTTGATTCAAGAAAAGTAATTCTAAAGTAAGAAAATTATTTTTAAAAATATCTGGCCGTTTTGCTTGAATAATTTATTCTCTTGGATTAGAATATTGTTACTTTCAGTCGATAACATGGTTACTTGATTTAATAGCATATTATCTTTAGTCAATGTAATAAAATTTCTTCTGTACCACTCGAGTGGGCCAAAAATTTCATACTAACTTTACCATCTCTCTATACCTCTACGTGTAAAAGATGCGATTTCGAAAATTAATTACTCAAAAACGGTGCGGTCAATTGATCTGAAATTTTGGTAGTGAATTATTAATATATTTATCTTTCGATAAAAAAAATTTCATAACTTTCTGTTGAAATGCCTTTCACGCTACAACTACCTTAAACGGAAGTTTTCTTCAGTTAATTAATTCAGAACATAATATTTGAGACTTTTTGTAAACTCATTGAAAAACTATCTTAGTTCAAGAGGAATAATCTTGATCTGAAAAACCTATTTTGGAGAAAATGATTGTTTTACTCTGAAAATTTTTTAACTTGGACCTCATTTTCTTAGCTTAAGAAGAAATTCGAGATTATCAATTTAAAATATATTATCTTCCGTCAATACAATCAAATTTTTATATAAAAAAAAAATTCTCTTCAGCTAAAATAATTTCATGTTTTTTTTATTCTTGATTCAATAATTAATTTCTTTATAAAAAATAGTAAAAAATCTTAAAAAAAAATTACTTTGACACATTCTGACTAATATTAAAGATTATTTTTTGATCATATAGAAGAGGTAGCAGAAATTCGACAATTTCTAATCTTAACGGTATTTACTTAAAACAAATATTTGCGTATAAGTATATTGTTTGAAAATAATAAAGTATTTCTTTTAAGAATAAATTTTTATGAAATACTTTCCGCTCTTTGTCATAAATTTCAATTTATCGATTCAAGAATTTTTTGGATCGAGGAAACCGAATATCTTGAAGCAAGAGAAAAATTTTGAAGAAAAAGTTGTTTATGAATTAAGTAATTTTTCTTAAGTGTATGCATAAAGATATAATCGAGTCTGAAATATCTAGTCTTCAGTTTCTAGTCGTTAATATTGAATTACAATTAATTAATTATTAGTTCCTAACAATAAAATAATATTGATAATAATAAAACGTTTTACCTTACATATCGAATTAACAAAATATAACATTCCATTATCAATATCGAATAATGATTATATTTATTTCTAAACTCTGTGTTAAAAACAATTATTTTGTCAATTAATGAATTTACTTGAGTATTAATAACCATTAATGAGGGTTTTAAATTAAATCTGTAATAAACGTATATTTTCAATAAAAAAATTAAACTTTTTAATATTTTTTATTTACTTGTCGATGAGTACTTTGTTTTTCATTCAAATTATTAGCTATTAATATAAGTGAAAATTATAAAATAAAACATCATAAAAGTCAGTAATTTTTTTGCTTACAAAATAATTTTAAGTGACTCTTAGATAACTCTATTACTTTCTACATTTAATTAATAATAATCATAATTACGCTAAAGAGTTACATACACAAACTACAATACGACAATGTCAAAAATTTTAAATTTAATTATCATTTTTATATTTTATATACTTACTCACTACTCTATACACAAATATACAACCATAAAAATTATAATTCATTTATTTATTTATCTTTTTAGCAGTTATAAACAAAATAATAATAGTATTAATTCTATTTTAATTTAATTTTTCAAATAATACATTTAAATAAAAATAATAACAAATATGGTTTAATGATTGCACATATTAACAGTGTTTTTTAATTATTAATCGTTAATTTTGAAATACCCTGATGATGATTGATAAATACATAAATATTACTTTATAAATAATAAAAAATTGAGTAATTATTTGGAAGTATGATCCACCCTCTTTTTGCCTGTAATAATCTTAAAAGGTGATATTTTATTTTGGAATGTATGTATTTTTTTTTTTTTTTTTGACAAATATATTTACGATGCCAAAGCGGCATTGAGATTTTAGATTTTTATCATAATTATGCTGTGAAAACAAAAAAGTTTAGAGAAAAAAATGTCAATTTTCCGTTTTTTTATGGGTGAAGGTGGAGTTAATTCTACTTTTAAATGATTACTAAAATATAACAATTATGTTTATTACAAATGTATGAAGTAAATAATATCGCATCCTTTTACCATTCATTTTGTACATTTAAAATCGTATACATTCGTTATGAATTATGAATAATGATAAATTGATGACTGCTTAAATTTACGCTAAGAATCAAAAAAATAAAATAATAATAATAATAATAAAAACAACATAAAATAGTAATTGATTATTTTTATGTATATATATATCAGTAAATTCGTACCTAGAATAATCAATCTTCAATGACGGTATCGATTATGAATATCAATCACTCAACTTATTCGTCTTGCATTACATTTTAAATATTCTTCATTCTTAAAAATTGTAATACCGTAACGGAATATCGGCTGGTTTAAAAAAAATACCAGCCCTCCTTTAATATCACAATGTCGAAGTATACTCGCGTTTTTTATTACTTAATATTTTTTATTTATAATTATTAACGTTGCTTATTTATTAATGTTTATGTTTATAATTTATAAGTAAATTAAAGTATATTATATATATTATTATTTACAAAATTTTTTGTTTATATCAATAACAACTGAACATTTTATCCTTATATTTATAGTACGTGCGTGTGATGCTAACTATATATCGTAGTTTGATTAAGAATATAACAGGGGACAAAGGATACTAAACTCTTAGTTCACATTATCATTTTAGTTTTTTAACTATAAAGCCGCTATACTTTAAATCCGTTATAGCTCTCAAGAATATCAATAATTTATATTTTTCATGATAATTACATTTGCTTTACACGATTTTTAAACAAATATATTATATTAATATCGTAATCAAAAAACGTAAAGTTAATAAATAAATGAATATTATACAATGCACTTGAAATAATAATTGAAAATAAATTTCAAAATAATAATAATAATATTTAAAAATTACTAAATTACAAAATTAATAATATTTTTCGATAGAATAAATGCGATAAATTCGCATCGACGTTTGACTATTTATTTACACGATTTATCTTAGTACATATGTATAGCACTAATATAATTTTTCGTATACAACAATGCAAATAAATTTGCTTGAATATCTTACTCGCAATTAAAAATTTTTTTAATTTTATTCATATTTAAAATAAATACTCATGAATTGTTGAATTAAACAGTGAATTCCATTGAAATAGTTTATAGTATAACTTTAAAAATATTCGAGAACCAATTAAATAGAATATTCATAAAATAACGTATGTTAATAATCAAATGCATGTTTGATTCCCCTACAAAAAAATATGCATGTTTAACATATAAGTAAACATATAAAAAATTTATAAATTAACACATATATCATTTTTGTTGAAAACATACAGGTATGTATGTGAAAAATTTTTTATGTTATATGAAACAGATATGAATTGAAAATAAAAAATAAATTATTTTCATGAAATGTTATAGAATTGTAAAAGAATTATTTTTAATTCTTTAAAATTTTCATACTATAATTCGATAGTACTTCAAAAAGTATTATGGAATTTTATTATAATTTCAAAAATTATAGTCAAGAATAAAAAGAATCATTTTTACCGCATTTTGTGTAGTTGTTTAGCAAAAATACATTTTTTTTAGGAAAATAGCTTTTGATGGTAAATAAATGTGACTGTATTATTTATCATCGAACATTTTTGAAATTTTATTTTGACTTCAACTCCAATCTTGGATAACTTTTGAATTAGTAAATTTAACGAAAAATCCAAGTTATAGGCGTGATTATGTGCAAATGCTTAAATTTGACAGAAATTTTGAATCAGACCTTTTCTTAACATTTAATTTTCTTCAAAAATGTAGATCGATCAATAATAGATCTTTTACTATTAATATTAGGGGTTCAAGCTTTCATAACATTTTTTTTGTGATTCTGAATTTTTTCGGCCCAGTCTAATAGATATATATGTTTTTTCATATGTTTATCTCTATGTTAAACATTTATGTAATATATACGTTTTCCGTGAGGAAACGTGATAGTTAATAATGATATATTGAATCGAAAATATGGATTAAAATAAATTTAATAATAAGATACGAAGAATTTAAGTGCACTTAAACAAAAATGAAAAACTCAGTTGTAAATTGCAAGTAAATTGTATCTATTTTTTTGTTTTTTTTTTTTTTTCCCGTAAAAAATTCATATAACTGATATTGTGTAGAGTTAACTTGAGAATAAATTTAAAGTGGTCTTTCTTCGCTCGACTGCAAGTCTCACAGACTTAATATATCTTCAATACACTGAACTGTATTCGAGATCGTGGGATGAGTATTGTGGAGGCCCAGAGGGTGGTGGAGGCTGCGGACTGTATTGCTGGGAGGCGTCGGAGGCACGACGCCTGAGCGCCGCGATGCTGTGTGCACCTCTCCAATCGGTAGCCTCGCCGGCACTCCCATCCGCACTGCCAACACAGGAAACACCGCCGCCACTACCGGATGCAGCTCCAGGCGAACCCTGTCCACAATTCATTCCACCACCCCCGAGGCCACCACCACTACTCTGGCCACCGCCCGTACCCACAGACGATGCACCCGGTGGTGAACCGCGGGAAGCTGTCACATGAACTCCACCTGAAAACAAAAAACGAAGAGTCAAAATAAATAAATAAATATCTTTTTCAATTTTTCGTACACAGGCATCTTTTTTAGTCAATTAATAAGCTTAAAAAAAGATAATATTTGAATAAGCAGTATTGAGCGTCTGCTGCAAACCTTTTTATACTTTATTTTCGTATTTGATGAATGCTTCATAGATTTTTTTAGTCTCAAAACTGACGTTGTCTAAGTCAGTAAATTTACCCGTGAATAAATTTTCTGATATGGCCTGATAAGTCTATAGATATTTGTCCATGTCAGAATAATTGATAGGTTCATACGGCCTAATATGATTTGATATTTTCGTACATAATTTTTGACATGTTCTGATATAAAAATTGGCCATATTAGACCTTATATGAGCATGTAAGTCTTAATATTTTTTTATATAACAATATATGCTCATACAGTTTTTGATGAAAAAACTCAAGTTGTCGATCTGAAATTGGTTTTTTCCAAATCTAAAAATTTTTTTTTCAACAAGAAAGTTACTGTGAAAAAAATTTTGATTTCTTTAGCTAAGAAAGAAAGTTGTTGAAAATTTCCAACAAATTAAGTTCTTGTCACAAAATTGCCCATATTTTTCCAAAGAAAATTTTTCTCTCAGAGTGCACTATTAAAAATCAGGAATGAAACAATAAAAAATTCCGCGTACCGAGTAAGTTTGGAATTTTTCTCAGCGCGAAGTGAATATAAATTTTAATTCGAAAAACATCCGAATACGGAGTTTTTAGACTGATATAAATTTTTATTTAGCTGAAATAAGTTTCATATGCAAATTACTATCAAATACTTCACTGATAGAAAATTTATGTTGACTCAAGAGATATTTTCTTGATCTAAGAATTTGTTTTGGAAGACAAATGATTATTTTGCTTTAAGAATTTCTTGTCTTGATTTAGATTTTCTTGGCTTAAGAGCTATATTATCTTCAATTGATACATTTAAGTTTTTCAATCAAAATAACATTATCGTTTAAAGAACGTGTAGAATAATTCATCAAAGTATATTTCAAAAACTCAATAGTCTTTAATTGTTACACCAAAAAACAATTATTTCTTGGAAATAAGTAAACTAATGGCTCAAAAAAAAGTCATTCTTAACACAAGTCGGTAACATCTTGAATCAATGTTATCGCCTATCTTGAACCAAGAGACAAAAATTTTTGAAACAAATATATCTATATCATCATAAATCTATATCTAGTTTTATGAGTTCAAGGTTTGAAGAAAAAAAGTTTCTTGAATCAAGATTGTTTTTCTATCAGGGTTCAAACAAATTATCTAGTTTAGGCTTATAAATATTAATTATATTTTGTCCAAAGATAAATTTTCACAAAGATTATTTTGTTATCAAATCTTGTTGAAAAATCCTAACATAAAAAGTAAAAGATAATAAATTCGTAAATAGCCATATCAGGCCATAACATAAAATTTTTTCACGAGAAATTATACATATATTTTTATGTGCTTTTATTATCTAGGATAAAATTATTTAAAAGTGACATAATTTTTTAGTGAGTTTAACTCCCTAAATAGATAAATTTCAATTGTGTTAATTAACAGTTCATAGAGTTTTGTTCAGTAGCCGTCGGGTATCGGGAGTCGAGTGTAAGTATACAAAGTACTTGCATACGCGACTGTCTTGGTATATAATCTCGCGCCTCTTAAGTGCTAATCATTATTGAAAACCAAAAATGAAAAAAATAGAGCTCCGTTGTAAAAGCTGTTTACTCAAACCATTATCAGTTTTCGAAGATGTTATGACCACAGTTGACGGGTGCTACTACATCCAATACTTAAGATTTTTTTTTTTTTTAACAATAAGATTATGAATATGATTATGATCACTGCTAAAAACAGTAATTAATCGGGCTGTAATTCGATAGGTTGAGAATTGATCTTTTGAAGACCGTATCGCTTCCTTGTAACGATAATTTGTCATAATTGACACTTAGTTACGTATGTCATGGCGGGATATAAATAGAAATAATTAAACAAATTTAAACTTAAATAATTTTTTAAAACAAATAAACATAACAGATTATGTCAAAAAATATTTTCTTTAAAAATATTTCACATGAACCTTAAAACAAATAAATAAAAAAATGTAAAATGTGTGATAAAGATTTAAGTAAGAATTTTTAAGAATCGTGAATAATTTTGGAAGGTTCATCAACTTTAAAACACGTTGTAAGATGAATACTTTTTAAAAAAGTATAATAATACGAAATGGTTATTTATACTGTTTGACGGTATACAAATATATATAAAAGTTTTAAGCAAAAACAGGTTGCATCGGGATGTTATGGTAAACATATAGCGAAAGATCTCACACCTAGGTGTGACCACCTTGAGGTCTTACTGTTCAAACAAAACTCGATGTTCGATGGACTTTATGTTTCTGTCTCAAATTCTTAACATGCAGACTCAACCAGCCTCGTTTCGCAAATTATTCCTGGAATTTATCTTTCCAACGCTCGTATTAAAATTATCATTAAAAAAAGATATATAATATATAAAATAATAATAATACGTATCTAAATATAATTTGATTAAATTAATATAATAATTACCCAGGGAGTTAAGTCCATAGGTTGCTTGATAAACGGTTTGCGATGGGCTACTGATTGGTAGGGTAGAATTGCCAAGTCCTAAACTTGAGCCAAGACTCCCAGATGTCTGCTGACTTAATTGTCCTAAACTTTGCCCGAAACTAGCCATACCCATGCTACTTTGACTGAGTTGTCCTAGTCCTGAAAAAAATTCACCGTCAGCTTTAATTTTTTAATTAAAAATTTATAAAATGCATGTTTCATATCATCACATCATAAAATAAAAGAAATGATTTTAGAGTAAATAATAATTACGGACCTGGGCCCATTGCCCATCGATCTGCTGGAGTGTGAAACATTCCGGCAGCTCCACAAAGATCTGAACCCATTGCTCCGAAAGGTGGAAGTCCATGGGAAGGTAGTAAAGCTCCTGGTGTTCTAAATACGTTTGTTGTCTTCTTACGTTTCTTCCATTTCGCTCGACGATTTTGAAACCACACCTGATACATACGCAATAATTGAAACAATTAATACTCATATTCTATTAAATTAGTTATATAATGTACTAATAAAAGTTAAAATTCGTTAAAGTTCAACACGCATTACTGTTAAAGAATTAAACGTGTAATCCAGCGATTTAAATTTTAATTTTCCATCATGAAAATTTAAAAAAAAAAAAAAAAAAGGAGAAATTATTAGGTTTAGTCAGACTTTTAAGTAAAAGCTTTTCATCAAGTTTTGATCATTTAAAATCCCAATAAATTATTTGGACTTTAAGTTGTATGTTATCTTCAGAACTAATCAATCGATATGAATTGTTAAAGTAATTTTGGTTCAACGTCTGTTCCATAAAAAATTTGAAGAGTGAAATACTTATTGAGGCTCGATTAATAATTTGATAAGTTAGTTTCTCGTTTCTCTTAGCATTTGTTCGAAATTTTCCATTCGTTTGGGAACAATTTGAAGATAAAGTTTTTTTTATGAGAAAAAAATCGGTTACAAAAAAATGATTATTCGGTGAGATTTGACTAATAATACCAAGTTTTATTTTCATAACAAGAAATGTTGTCCACGATAAGTATTGTTTTTACAGTGTGGAAAAATCGCTTACAGATTATAAAAATTCACTAACCACACACATACATCACAAATAAAAATTATTATTTTTTTTAATACTAATTAATACCACATTTATAGACATTAATGTAGATAACTCTGCTCAAGAAAATGTCGAGATATATTTGTTCAATTTATAGCAAAGTGCTCAACAAAATTTAAAATTCTCATCAATGTAGAAGCTCGCTTTTTTCGCTTAATCAATCAATAAAAAAAAATTCTTCGTTAAAAAACTATTACTTTTCTTGACTCAAGAATATGTTTAAGAAAACAGAATTCCTGTTAACTGAAGCAAAGTTTTATTGAGGAGCACAACCAGTGTGAAATTTTCAAAAAATTGATTTTTTTTCATATTTCGATAGGTACCTGGCGGTTTCAGCAGCACGGTGAAAGCACGGTTGCAGCACGGTCGCTTGACAGTTGTTTCACGGTCGTTTCACCGTATAAAGTTCGTTCTTACCGAGCGATCTATCAGTCAGCATCGGATACCGTTGTGAACGATGTCTACTATTAATTTATTGAATATATACGGTGTATACGCAAGTGAATCTACGATGTTATGACCGATGCTGTACGCTCAATATACTGTCGGAATACGGTGATTTTACGCTACTGTCACGGACAATAAAATAAAAAGAAATACTTCGGACAGTCTAGACCGGGACTCGAACCCGGTTCAAATGGTCGCGTGCCCGAAACTTTACCAGTTGGGCTATCTGAGACAACGCACGGGGTATTCGATTCAGTGACATGATAAGGTGTCAAAACCAAGTCATTTTTTTCATTGTACAGATAAAAATAGCTTAAATGAAGTTATATTTTTTCCAGGACTTCAAAATAATAATCGTAATAAATGATTCAAATTTTTGATGATTACGAAATTCTTGATTTCGAAATCGCGGTGAAATTATTAACTGTATAAAAAAAGATCTGAAAAAGAAATTGCTAAAAATTTAATCGTTAAAAAATCTCAGAATAATTTTTCTTCATAACAAACAATTTTTCCGTAATTTCGTAATTAAAGTTTTCGTCTCTAAAAAAAAAAAAAAAACTCAAATTTTTAACAATGGATTCAAATTTTTGAATTAGGGTGAAAATATTTGACGTGTAGAAAATAAGTTTATAGTTAAGTTGAAATTAAATTATAATGTATTAATTAATTGTTGAATAAAATATCTCCCGATTAAAAAAA